GCCAAAACCCATCAGTGTGCTGTATCCAGGAAACCCATCTTACATGCAAGGATACACAAAGGCTCAAAATAAAGGGATGGAGGAAGATCTACCAAGCAAATGGAGAGCAAAAAAAGGCAGGAGTTGCAACTCTCATCTCTGACAAAATAGACTTTAAAGCAACAAAGATCAAAAGAGACAAAGAAGGACATTACATAATGGTAAAAGGATCACTGCAACAAGAAGAGCTAACGATCCTAAATATATACGCACCCAATACAGGAGCACCCAGATACATAAGGCAAGTTCTCAATGACCTACAAAGAGACTTAGACTCCCACACAATAATAGTGGGAGACTTTAACACCCCACTGTCAATATTAGACAGATCATCCAGACAGAAAATCAACAAGGATATCCAGGACCTGAACTCAGACCTGGAACAAGCAAACCTAATAGACATTTACAGAACTCTCCACCCCAAATCCACAGAATATACATTCTTCTCAGCACCACATCACACCTACTCTAAAATTGACCACATAATTGGCAAGTAAATCACTCCTCAGCAAATGCAAAAGAACAGAAATCATAACAAACAGTCTCTCAGACCACAGTGCAATCGAGTTAGAACTCAGAATGCAGAAACTAACTCAGAATCACACAGCTTCATGGAAACTGAACAACTTGCTCTTGAATGTTGACTGGATAAAAAATGAAATGAAGGCAGAAATAAAGATGTTCTTAGAAACCAATGAGAACGAAGACACAACATACCAGAATCTCTGGGACACATTTAAAGCAGTCTCTAGAGGAAAATATATAGCAATGAGTGCCCACATGAGAAGAAAGGAGAGGTCGAAAATTGACACCCTATCATCAAAATTGAAAGAGCTAGAGGAGCAAGATCAAAAAAACTCAAAACCTAGCAGAAGACAGGAAATATCTAAGATCAGAGCAGAACTGAAGGAAATAGAGAAACAAAAAACTCTTCAAAAAATCAATAAATCCAGGAGCTGGTTTTTTGAAAAGGTCAACAAAATAGACAGACCACTAGCCAGATTAATAAAAAAGAAAAGAGAGAATAACCAAATTGATGCAATAAAAAACGATAAAGGGCATATCACCACAGATTCCACAGAAATCCAAACCATCATCAGAGATTATTACAAACAACTCTATGCACATAAATTAGTAAACCTGGAAGAAATGGATAAATTCCTGGACACCTGCACCCTCCCAAGCCTAAACCTGGAAGAAGCCGAAACCCTGAATAGACCAATAACATGGTCTGAAGTCGAGGCAGCAATAAAGAGCCTACCACCCAAAAAAAGCCCAGGTCCAGATGGGTTCACAGCGGAATTCTACCAGACATACAAAGAGGAGCTGATACCATTCCTTCTGAAACTATTCCAGACAATCCAACAAGAGGGAATCCTTCCCAAATCATTTTACGAGACAAACATCATCCTGATACCAAAACCCGGCAGAGACTCAACAAGAAAAGAAAATTTCAGGCCAATATCCATGATGAACATAGATGCAAAAATCTTCAATAAAATACTGGCAAACCGATTGCAACAGCATAGCAAAAAAGCTCATCCACCATGATCAAGTAGGATTCATCCCGGGGATGCAAGGCTGGTTCAACATACGCAAGTCCATAAACGTAATTCACCACATAAACAGAACCAAAGACAAAAACCACATGATTATCTCAATTGACGCAGAGAAGGCTTTTGACAAAATTCAACAACCCTTTATGCTAAAAACCCTCAATAAACTAGGTATTGATGGAACGTATCTCAAAACAATAAAAGCTATTTACGACAAACCAACAGCCAATATCATACTGAATGGGCAAAAACTGGAAGCATTCCCTTTGAAATCTGGCACTAGACAAGGATGCCCTCTCTCACCACTCCTATTCAATATAGTACTGGAAGTTCTAGCCAGAGCAATCAGGCAAGAAAAAGAAATAAAGGGTATTCAAATTGGAAAGGAGGAAATCAAATTGTCTCTATTTGCAGATGACATGATTGTATATCTGGAAGACCCCATCATCTCAGCCCAAAATCTCCTGAAACTGATAAACAACTTCAGCAAAGTCTCAGGATACAAAATCAACGTGCAAAAATCACAAGCATTCCTATACACCAGTAATAGACTTCAAGAGAGCCAAATCAAGAACGAACTGCCATTCACAATTGCTACAAAGAGAATAAAGTACCTAGGAATACAACTAACAAGGAACGTAAAGGACCTCTTCAAGGAGAACTACAAGCCATTGCTCAACGAAATAAGAGAGGATACAAACAGATGGAGAAATATTCCATGTTCATGGTTAGGAAGAATCAACATCGTGAAAATGGTCATACTGCCCAAAGTAATTTACAGATTCAACGCTATTCCCATCAAGCTACCAATGACCTTCTTCACAGAACTGGAAAAAAACACCTTAAACTTCATATGGAACCAAAAGAGAGCCCGCATAGCCAAGTCAACTCTAAGCAAAAAGAACAAAGCAGGAGGCATCACACTACCGGACTTCAAACTATACTACAAGACTACAGTAATCAAAACAGCATGGTACTGGTACCGAAACAGAGATATAGACCAATGGAACAGAACAGAGGCCTCACAGGAAAAACAACATACCCACAACCATCTTATCTTCGACAAACCTGACAAAAACAAGCAATGGGGAAAGGACTCCCTGTTTAATAAATGGTGTTGGGAAAACTGGCTAGCCATGTGCAGAAAGCAGAAACAGGACCCCTTCCTGACACCTTACACCAAAATTAACTCCAGATGGATTAAAGACTTAAACATCAGACCTAACACCATAAAAACCTTAGAGGAAAATCTAGGCAAAACCATTCAGGACATAGGTGTAGGCAAGGACTTCATGACCAAAACGCCAAAAGCAATGGCAACAAAAGCCAAAATAGACAAATGGGACCTAATCAAACTCCACAGCTTCTGCACGGCAAAAGAAACAGTCAGTAGAGTGAATCGGCAACCAACAGAATGGGAAAAAATTTTTGCAGCCTACCCATCTGACAAGGGGCTGATATCCAGAATTTACAAAGAACTAAAGCAGATCTACAAGAAAAAAACAAACAAGCCCATTCAAAAATGGGCAAAGGACATGAACAGGTACTTTACAAAAGAAGACATACAGGAGGCCAACAAACATATGAAAAAATGCTCATCATCACTGGTCATCAGAGAAATGCAAATCAAAACCACATTGAGATACCATCTCACACCAGTTAGAATGGCGATCATTAAAAAATCGGGAAACAACAGATGCTGGAGAGGATGTGGAGAAATAGGAACACTTCTACACTGTTGGTGGGAATGTAAATTAGTTCAACCATTGTGGAAGACAGTGTGGCGATTCCTCAAGGACCTAAAAATAGAAATCCCATTTGACCCAGCAATCCCATTACTGGGTATATATCCAAAGGATTATAAATCATTCTACTACAAGGACACGTGCACACGAATGTTCATTGCAGCACTGTTTACAATAGCAAAGACCTGGAACCAACCCAACTGCCCAACGATGATAGACTGGATAGGGAAAATGTGGTACATATACACCATGGAATATTACGCAGCCATCAAAAAGGATGAGTTCACGTCCTTTGTAGGGACATGGATGAACCTGGAAACCATCATTCTCAGCAAACTGACACAAGAGCAGAAAATCAAACACCGTATATTCTCGCTCATAGGCAGGTGCTGAACAATGAGAACACAAGGACACAGGGAGGGGAGCACTACACACTGGGTTCCGTTGGGGGGAAATGGGGGAGGGGCGGGGGGTGGGGAAGTGGGAAGAGATAGCATGGGGAGAAATGACAGATACAGGTGAGGGGACGGAAGGCAGCAAACCACACTGCCATGTGTGTACCTGTGCAACAATCTTGCATGTTCATCACATGTACCCCGAAACCTAAAATGCAATAAAATAAAATAAAATAAAATAAAAAATAAAAAATAAAAATAAATAAATAAATAAAATGAACAAGACATAAAAAAAAAAAATAGTTATTTTAATCTCATTGAGCCTCTAGTCTTAACTACCAGCTTACAGAAAGATGAGATAGAGAAAAAAGTTAAGCAATATGATTAAAAAGTAGAGAAATATGGAACATGAAACATTCTAAAAGATAAATAGCCTGGTAGGGGTATTGTTCAAGATTTAATAAAGACTGAAGAGACAGCAAAAGGCAATACATATACTATGATTGGATCCTGGACTGTGGCTGAATAGGGGTGAGAAGAAAGCTTTAAAAAATATTCTTAAAGTAATTGGGAAAACATTAATATATATCAGGTGTGATAACAGTATTGTGATTATGCAGGAAAATGAACTGATATTGAAGAGATGCATACTAAAATGGCTAAAGATAAAGCACTAATGATGCTTAGAACTTACTTTTAAATGGTTCTGCCAAAGAAGAGAGAGAGAAATTATGGCAACAATATAAACAATTGCCAAATTTCAGCGGAGCGCATCTGTACTATTTCTTCCTCTTTCTGCCAATTTTTAAATTTTCAAAATAAAATGTTTTCAGTAAAAAAACTGTAAGCCTCTAAATTGTACAGCTTCAAATGGTTAAAATGCCAAATTTCCTGTTTGGGGAATTTTACCTGGAAAAAAAAAAAAAAAAAAAAGAGCTGTGGGTATCTGACACAATGGGGCTTTTGCAGAGTTGGTTGGATTGCTCTGCATAGCTCCACGTGCATCAGCTATGAAGTGTATGGTGTCCCTAGGAGTTAGATAATACTACAGCATAAATACCATGGTGTTCTCACATTGAGATAGAGTTAGGAGGAAACACAGAATCTTTATGTAGAATTAAAAAAAAATAGGATGTTTACTTTTATATAATTAATAAAATTACTTCTATATAATTGTTATTGCCAATTTCAGAGTACATATAGGGCATGATGATTTGGCCAAAAGTGAAACACAACCTCAAAAGCAACCCAAAATATCCACATACCTGGGTTCAAGGATGGAGGAGGTGGAGGTGGGAGGGGTCGGCCTTCTTTAATGGCTAGCGTACACTGCTTTGCTGATCGGATTGCATTAATAAAGTCTTCATGTTGCTGTCTCCAGTTAGACTTCCTCACAGGTGGAGACTGGAAAAAATAAAACCAACAAATAATACAGATTATATACCGCTCCATTACAATTTTTTTTTAAGCTGGAATTTGAATTCATAGGAAACAGAACTGTGAAAATTGGAGAAAAGTAGAGTTTGATTTTCAAAAGCACTACTTAAAGAGGTTTGGAAAATACAGTAATATAATTTGCAAGCTCCAATAGTGAGGGAAAACACAAAAGAAAAATCAGAAAAATAAAGAAACTATAAAACTTTAAAGAAAGACAAATGTAAGGTTAAAAGTGACTTTCTTCTCAAGTTAATTGCTAGATTTAGAGCCACTCTAATGAACAAGATTATTTTTTGCTACATCTGGAAAATATCTGAAATATATTTGAAAATCTAAGTAAGCAAGATTATAAAGAAAACAGTAAAGGTGGTTTATAGTTACATACATTATGGCATTAACAAGCAAAAATGAAACCAGAAATCCCAGAAATAGGCCTTAGAGTACCACAGAATGTAATAACAAACAATAAAGAAGATACCAGGAGTACCTTAGATTGCGGAGTCTTCTTCACAATAGGAATGTCAGTGCCCTGTAATCTTTGCTTCAAAGAATTGAAAGGTTTGCGTTTTTTGTTGAAGAGTTTTTTACATATTGGTCCATGCCTTTTCTAGAAAACAAAGGGTAGGGATTGGAATTTTTAAGTGCACAATCACAGTTTTTAACGCTAGGAGTACCTAGACAGCCTCCGCTACAGGGACTGTGTTGCTCCTCAGAACCTAGTTCATTCTCTGAAAGATCACAGCAGAGCAAATCCATCTGCTCTTCTCATTTGTGTTACATATAACCAGATACCGTGTTTGAGCAAAGACAGTAAAATGCCTTTATAGTTAAAGAGACTTACTTCAAATTTGGGTTTATATATTGAACTCAAATGTGGACAGTATGCTGTTTACTCCAACCGGTAGTCCTTTAAGCATTCAATATTTCTAATACAAAAACTGAGGAGCTAACATGCAGAGCTTTGCCTGTGTACCACCTGGATGAAATGTGCTATTGTGCCACTGTGGGACCTCTGCCCTCTCCCTTGGTGGATATGTGACATGTAATAGCTGTCATTGACACAGCAGCTTTGTCAGACCCCACAAAATATAAGCTCTGTGAAAATCATTGCACCTGGCTAAGAACAAGCCATTCGATTTTAAACTAAAAAAGAGAGAAAGATCAAATCATTTGATCAATACCCTAGAAATAGGATTAGGAATGAAACTCAAAAGTGTCCAAGAGGGACTTGATATTTAGAGATCCCTCTGCAAATGGAAGCTCTCAGTTCTCACACTGATTCTCAGGGGGTGCAGCTCCAGGCTGGCAAAGCCAGTGACACACACTGGTGGGCTACAGGGCCACAACCAGCTCCACAAGCTCTCCCTCTAGTTTCAGGAAGCTCTAACCACAGTTAACTAAAAGACAGCTGTTTCATTTTTTAAATTCCCCAGAAAAATAAAACCTCCAACCTCATTTTACAGTCTTTTCCTGAAATGTAGTCAGGCTTCCAGTCCACATCCTTTGAGTTTCATATGTCTCCTTGATCCAAAATGTCCTGACTGACAGCTGAATTACCCTCTTAGATTTTCTTTTTGAAAAAATCATCTTTCTTGGGAACCCCTGTATATTATTGGGGCATACCACCTATTTGATTCCCTAATTTTGAAACAAATCAAGCTTTTATTCAAATTTATAGCCATCAATCAAGGGACTTGACATGCAGTTAGCTTGAATCTGGACAGTTAGAACTTGGGACAGGCCTTACATCCATGTATCATTTTGTTCAACTGGTATAAAAACCCTGAAATTAGAAGGTTCTGTATACGTGGCAAAGCAGAAAACAGGAAGGTTAAAGGACTTGTCAGGATTAGTGACAAATTTGCGGCTAAAAGCCAAGTTTCCAGATGTCTGAAATTCAATGCTCATTCCTCTTGACTAGCTAATTTCCCTGGTGCTTTGGCCTTGAAATTTGAATTTTTGATGCTTAAAGAAAAGGCGGAAGAGCCAAAACTTCTCGAGGGATCATCGACGATGCCAAGAAAATTCCATCTGGCATCATTTCAGGAGGACCATGTTTAACAGGGTCGCTTTTGAATGAGGCAGCATCAATCTGCCTCAGTGTTCTCTGGGCCCACCAGCCATAGGTTATATACTTTTCCTCTTCCCTTGCTTCTCCTCCACATCTGTCTTTAATCTTTGCACTGCCGCCTCCTCACTGACTTGACAGTTCATTTAAGTCCAATGAAACACATCTACAAAATGTCTTTATGTTTACCAGAACATCTGCTGCAAAGCGTCTTCCACAGACTTCACAGGGAAATAACTCCTGATTGCCATCTGTGTAAAATTCAAGAGCACATTATGTTAGTTTCATGGAATTGCCTGGCCGAGAAGAAATGACTGACTGGAGGTGACCTCAGTAGCTTGATATCCTCACTCTCTTTTCCCTCCCCACCAACTGCTTCTTCCCCTTGGGAAGACCCTATGTAAACTCACCTGTGTTTTCCTCTTCTAATATAAACTTCTCACTTCACTAAACAAGTAAATTCCATATCCTTCAGGCAACCAGAGTATAATTATTTGATTTAATATTTAATACACTCTTAAATGAAGTGCCTGATAACTTTGCTTGAGACATAAGCAAAAAATACCTGAGTATAAGGTCAGTAATAAATAATCCAGTGACAACATCCTTAGGATTCCTACTATAATGTAAGTTCTGTGAGGGCTGAGACTGGGCCTATTTTATCCTCAATGCCTCCAAGTACTTGACCCATAATAAGGTATTCAATAAATGCTGGTTGAATGCAGGGGTCAAACAAGAATTGAGTTTCTAACATAGGAACAATCATTCATTTGATAAGTAGATATTGGCTATATGCAGTTCTCTGGAAATATTAGGAGAAATCATACATGGGACCAGCATAGAAAAAAATGCAGATAATTAATGACATAGAAAACTATCATGAGAAAAGCAAAATATTGTGAAATTCTGAAAAAAAAGTTTTTCATATTACTTCCTTTCAGTTCATCAGGAGTTGAGTGTGTAAATATTTAAAAAGCACTTTTATCAAAGTCATGATGTCTTAGGTTAAGAAGAAAAGCAGTTTTGAGGTACGAGCATAGATATTATATTAGACCAATCATCTGGGCTTTACATGAAAGGAAAGCAACACAGAACATTAAATTGGAAGAACCTAAAAAGCCGTGGAAAATTGACGTGACAAAGGTGAGGTGGGGTGAATAGGCTGTGAGTATAGTGGGAGAAGAGTGGAGTTTAGTGAAAAAGCTGCAGGTGGGCCAGGCGTGGTGGCTCATGCCTGTAATCTCAATACTATGGAGGTGCCTGCCGAAGCAGGAGGAGTGCTTGAGCCTAGGAATTCGAGACCAGCTTGGGCGACATAGGGAGATTGTGTCTCTACACAAAATAAAAAATTAGTTGGACATGGTGGCTCATGCCTGTGGTCCCAGCTACTCGAGAGGCTGAGGTGGGAGGACCACATAAGCCCAGGAGGCAGAGTGAGCTATGATCACAACACTGCACTCCAGCCTGGGAGACAGAGCAAGAGTTTGTCTCCCCAACACCCACAAAAAAGGCTGAAGGTGGAGACCTGAAACGGAAAAGAAAGAGGAGTTTGGAGATTCTGTGTCAGAGTCAACAATATGATTAGATTTGTGGCGGGTAGGAGGTGGCACAAATAGTCCTCAAGAAGGATGCTTGAGGACTATTCTACGTTTAGAGGCAGAAGGATGAGAAGATGTTGGGGCTGTGAGATAGAAATAGCAAACTTGAAAAGAAGGGCCATCTTAGGAAGAAAAATGACTTCAGCCTTGGAAATACTGAGTTGACAGAGAGTTGTCCAGCCAGCAGGATGGAAATGAGGGAGGCCAGGGTTAGAGACACAGATGTAGGCTTTGAGGAATGAAGTAAAGGCATGATATTGCCAGGGAAGAAGTCATGGAAAGAGAAGTACAGAGATGATCCTTAGGGAAACTTATATTTAAGGGCCAAGAAAATGATGATGATAAGCCAGGAGGAGAAACAGGAGAGAACAGGGTCATGGAAACTGAAGGAAGACAGTTTGAAAAAGGAAGGGCTAGTTAACAGGAAGCAGATGGGTAGCCTGCTACAGACATTGTTGATTTAAATGATTTCTTCTCACATCTGCTAATTGGTATTGTGTTTTCAACACAGGCCATCCATCACAGCACACAGAAATACCTCTTGCTTTCCCTGTTCTTTTGTGTTATTTTGGCACAGTTTGTAAAACTGCATCTAAATCTAAATATATATATAAAAATATGTATACATATTTTTACACAAGGGTACCACAACCTGAAACTACTCATCTTGATTATAAAACTGCTGCTGCTCTTTCTAAAACACTAGTAAAGGATAATCTATTTTTATTAATATGACAATAACATTTGTGTGTTTTCCTATGTTACCTCACGTGGGCCTCACAGTAACCTTATGAGACAGAGTTAGTACTATTTGTATTTTACAAGTGAGATAACGGAGGCTCAAGTAGGTAACCTAAGACTGCAGGTAGTAACTGGTAATACTGAGATTTGAATTTGGGTCTTTCTCTTTCCAAGTATTAAGGCTATTGATTCAACCATCACCACAGTATGTTAGTACTCACCTGCAAAGCAACTAGAAGTCCCTAGAGGATCAATGACCTTTGGCTGAAATCAGTGAGTTCAATGAGTTTAAAATACTGACAGATACAAGTGATATGATTCAATTCAATACGTGGATACAAATGGACCACCACATTCTGAACCACATTCAACTCAGAAGCTTGACTATAAGGAACAAAGGGAACACCTATCTAGCCAGCTGCATCAGACATGGAGATCAATGGGGTCTGCAGTGTTTCCGTAAACTGAATCACATGGAATATGTGATTGCTAGAACCTTAAAAGAACCTTTGAAACTCCCAAAATGCCTTTCAATAGGTGAACAGTTAAACAAACAGTGGTATATCTATAGCCTGGAATACTATTCTATTCAGCAATAAGAAAGACCACCTTTTTTTTTTTTTAGACAGGGTCTTGGTTTTTAGCCCATGCTAGGGTGCAGTGGGGTGATTACAGCCATTATCATCTCTGCCTCCTGAACTCAAGCAATCTTCCTACCTCAGCTTCTTGAGTAGCTGGGACAAGCTAGTTTTTTATTTGTTATATAGATGGCATTTCACTATATTGCTCAGGCTGGTCTCAAACTCTTGGGCTCAAGTAGTCCTCCTACCTCAGCCTCCCAAAGTATTGGGATTGCAGGTGTAAGCCACTGTGCCCAGCCAAGAAAGAACACCATTGATACATGCAACAACTTGGATGGATTTCAATGGTGGGCAAAACAAGCCCATCTTCAAAGGTCACATACTGTGTGATTTCATCTGCACAACATATTCAAAAATGACCAAAGTAGAGAGGTAGGAAACAGATTAGAGATTGTCAAAGGATAAAGATGATTGGGAGTCGGGTGGAAGGTAGCTGTGACTATATGGGGTTAGAATGAGGGAGATATCTGTGATGGAATAGTTACGTATCTCCATTGTGAGGTGGTAACGCATGTGATCAAATGGTACAGACTGTGAACACACGTTGTACTAATGTCAGTTTCCTGGTTTTGACATTTTACTGCAGTTATTTAAGATGTAACTTGGAGAAAACTGAGTAAAGGACATTCAGCATCTCTCTGTGCTATTTTGTAACTTTTTATAAAACTATGTCAAAATAAAAAGTTTAAAAATAATATCTAGGGGTCAGCAAAATGTAGCCAGTGGGCAAAATCTGAGGCTTTTTTTTTATTGTTTATTTTTTCCTTTTCTTTTTTCTTTTTTTTTTTTTTTTTTTGAGACAGAGTCTCGCTCTGTCGCCAGGAGCCAGGCTGGAATGCGGTGGCGCGATCTTGGCTCACTGCAATCTCTGCCTCCCAGGTTCAAGCAATTCTCCTGCCTCAGCCTCCTGAGTAGCTGGGACTACAGGCATGCACCACCATGCCCAGCTAATTTCTGTATTTTTTTTAGTAGAGAAGGGATTTCACCATGTTGGCCAGGATGGTCTCGATCTCTTGACCTCGTGTCCGTCTGCCTCAGAATCTCAAAGTGCTGGGATTACAGGCGTGAGCCACTGTGCCTGGCCGGCTTTTTTTTTTTTTTTTTTTTTTTTTTTTTTTTTTTTTGTAAATAAAGTTTAATGGGAATACAGCCTTGCTCATTTGTATACAATTTATTGCTGCTTTTCTGCTCCAACAGCAGAATTTAATAGTTTCAATGGAGGCCATATGATCTGCAAAGCCAAAAATTATGTATACTATTTGGCCCTTGACAGAAATAGGTTGCCAAAAATTGCCAAATCATTTTTACAGTAATTGAAAAGGATTTGTGGGAGAATAACATGGAAAAATATTAATGAATATTTTATTCATATATTTATTAATAAAGACTGGAAGGGCACACACAGAGTAATTACTTTTGGCATGAATAAAGATGAATATTATTTCAGTTTTCCATATTTTCAAACTTTTTATGAAAATTATGCATTACTATTTTAAAAATCAGAACAAATGAATACCTTTCAAAAAACAGAAAGAACCCGTTGGTAGAAAATGTTCTAAAACAGTGAGTATCACCTCAGCTATCTCTATCTTTTTCCTCTTTTTGAATCATACTTGGTAAACTATTATAGTGGCTATTTTTAAACATTGGTTTGTAATCTTTGAAATTGTTAAAAATGAGTAACAGAAAGTAATCTGGGAGTGATAAAGCTTTGTTTAACACATCAAAAATAAAAAATAGGTCAGGCATGGTGGCTCACACCTGTAATCTCAGCATTTTGGGAGGCTGAGGCTAGAGGATTGCTTGGGCCCAGGAGTTCAATACCAGCCTGGGCAACACAGTGAGACCTCCATCTCTACAAAAAATTTTAAATATTAGAATTAGCCATGCATGGTGGCATGTGCTTGTGGTCCCAGATACTCAGGAGGCTGAGATCAAAGAATCACTCCAGTCCAGGAGGCTGAGGTTGCAGTGAGCCATGATTGATTGTGCCTGGGCAAGAGAGCTAGACCCCACCTCAAAAAAAAAAAAAAAAAAATCAGGGACAACATGGGCAGGAAAACAAACATTACAAAGAAGCATGGAGAGAATCAGGACTAGTCTTAAATTGAAAAAGTGTTACTTCTGACCAGACATTCTCTTTCAGAGCTGGAAGTTAAGAATACTTTGTAGGAACCAAGCTATCCACATTTTCTTAAAGGAGCATGATAGAGAAGAAAAAAGGAAGACTTTTTTTTCATTCAGATGTCTGCAAGTCACAGATCTAGATCT